GGCTGAGGCAGGAGAATTGCCTGAACCCAGGGGGCAGAGGTTGCGGTGAGCCGAGATCGCGCCATTGCACTCCAGCCTGGGTAACAAGAGCGAAACTCTGTCTCAAAAAAAATAAAAATAAAAAATTAAATTAAAAAATAAAAAAATAAAAAATAAATGTCACTGATCTTGGTTTCTCTGTCTTTCCCAAGCCAGTACTCATACATAGCTATGTATTAAACTCCTATTAAATAACAGGCCTGTTCTAGGTACTTAATATATAAAAGTGAAAACAGACAAGGACTCTGCCATTGTGAAATTTACATTCTAGTAGGGAAAATGTAAAACAAATCAATAGATAGGATGTCTGGTCTTTGGTCAAATGGGGAAGTTTGGTGATTAGTGTTTTAGTTCCAGGGAAGTCTCAATTCAGGGGATACCAATTGGCCTCATAATCTGACCCTAGAGAATGTCAGTATCTGGATAAATGTCATCCCAACCTCTTATTCCCATACCTGAGATAGTACGATTCCTTTTGCCTTTCAAGTCTGACAGCCACTCCTTTTCATTAGCTGAAAGAACAATGGACAGATTGGAAAGAACCCCAGGTTAGAAGTATGTGAACAGAGATCGTCGTCCCAGCTCTGTTACCAATGAGCAGTCCTTCCCCTGTCCCTGTTATATGGTTTAATGATAGAATGGGTTGGATGATACAACATTTGCTTTCGGTGGCTCCAAAAGCAATGTGAAAAATTCTGTTGTACACATTTACTACAATTCCTGGTTCATGGTACATGCATGATATGTATTTACTAATTAGTTCTATCAGTTAACTGAGCTGCATGGAAGATTACAACCTAATACCTCTAGCACAAGAAGATGGTTATCAGAGAACACCAAAGTTATTTATTTATTTTTAAATTATTTGACTCCTGGATTTATTGTGTATCTCCCTACAGGCAAGTTTCATGAGACTAGAGATTTTGTCTGGTTCATCTTTGTGGCCCAGGGCCTATATAGTGCTCACTCAAGTGGATGAAGGAGTGAACAAATACTATAAGAGTTCACAGAGTGAGCCAGGGAAAGTTTATTAAGATAGGGGTATTTAGCCAGAACCCAGGAAGATTCTCAGAATTTAAAAAGCGAGCCAGGCACAGTGGCTCATGTCTGTAATCCCAGCACTTTGGGGGGCCGAGGCGGATGGATCACCTGAGGTCAGGAGTTTGAGACCAACCTGCCCAACATGATGAAACCCAGTCTCCACTAAGAATACAAAAAATTAGCTGGACGTAGTGGTAGGTGCCTGGAATCCCAGCTACTCAGGAGGCTGAGGCAGGAGAATAGCTTGAACACAGGAGACGGAGGTTGCAGTGAGCCAAGATTGTGCCACTGCACTCCAACCTGGGCAACAAGAGTGAAACTCCATCTCAGAAAAAAAAAAAAAAACTAAAATTTAAAAAAAAAAAAAAAAAAAAAAAAAAAGCTAAACTTTTAATTTGGAACTTTGTTTTAGCACTATGGATTTGAAAGCAGTATTACAATGGACTGTCAAAGCAAGGGACTGAAGTTGAAAAATAGTCCAAGAAATAGGAAAAATGAAGTTTAAGAAGGCACGAACAGGAGGAATTATCATAATAACCAGCCCCAGCATGTAATCCCTTTGAAAAATAGTAACTTAGGCAGGGCTCGGTGGCTTATGCCTATAATCCCAGCACTTTGGGAGACCAAGGCGGGTGGATCACCAGGTCAGGAGTTCAAGACTGGCCAAGATGGTGAAATCCCATCTCTACAAAACTACAAAAATTAGCCGAGTGCGGTGGCAGGCACCTATAAACCCAGCTACTTGGGAGGCTGAGGCAGAAGAATTGCTTGAACCTGGGTGGCAGAGGTAGCAGTGAGCCAAGATCATGCCACTGCACTCCAGCCTGGGCGACAGAGTGAGACTCTGTCTCAAAAAAAAAAAAAAAAAAGAAAAAGAAAAGAAAAACTTTTCTCTAACTTTACAGTAGAATAATCTGGCAAACCCTTTCCAACCAAGTGTTCAAAGCTGATATCCATCACCATTGATGTCAAGTGGATATTACGTACCCCCTGACGTGATGAAAAGGGCACTTCACATCTGTAGCATTTTTTTCCCAAAAACCCAAAACCCTGTTCTAATTATGAAAAAAAATCAGCCAAACACAATTAAGGAATACTTTACAAAATACCTAACTAGTACTTCCCAAAACTGTCAAAGACATGAAAGCAAGGAAGACTGAGAAACTGTTACAGATAAAAGGAAACTAATAAGACATGACACTAAATGCACTGTGGTATCTTGGACTGGATCCTGGAATAGTGAAAAGCGTATTAACGAAAAACTGGTAAAATCGAAAAAATTGTCCACAGTTTAATTAGTAGTACCATAAAAATACTGGTGTCACAAACAATGTGATGATAAATTAGGAATAATTGAAACCAGGTGTCAGATATATTATCTTTTCAACTTTTCCACAAATTTTAAATTATCCCAAAATTTTTTAAAATGCTGTTTTAAAATAACATCCATTTATTTAGCCTACAATTGCACAGGTGGATAATTTCGGCTGGGCTCAGTTGAGCGGTTCTTCTAGTCTCGGCTGGGCTACAGTCAGCTCAACAAGCCAGTTCTGCCTCCAGAGACTTGCTGGCTTTTGGCTAGGGCACCTTGGCTTAGATCTACACGATCTCTTGTTCTCCAAAAATCTAGCCTGAATTTGTTTCCACAGTGCCTGGGCAAATTTCCAAGAAAGAATAAGCAGAAGTGAACACAAGTATGCAAAGCTTCTTGAAGCCTAAGCTCAGAACTGGCACATCATCAACTCCATCTCATTTTTGTGTCCAAAGCAAGTCATAAGAACAACCCAGCCAGGTCC